AAATTGTGGATGCCTTTTGGCTTGTTTATCCTGAAACTAGCAAACGTCTGTCTGAAGCCGTACGCTTTACTGCTTGGTTCATGCCATAAATTAATCTTCTCTTCGCAACTGACCGTGGCATGCCCTCCTGGCCTGTTTGCGAAACTGGCAAACCAACATCACGGAAAGTCCAGCGGCGAATAGCCTAAAGCAAGGGAAACTATGCCTTTGCATACATGCCATGCTCAGGTGCTCAGCTGACATCGTGGCCAACCACCGCCGACCAGGCATAGAATGCAAAGCGCTGCAACTTGAAGCGGCCTGCCATCTCAGCCAACTCGTTCATCGCCGGGCGCACTGCCAATCGCAACAACTCCATGGAAAGCAGTGCAAACTCAAGTGGCGTTCACTCAAGTGCCTGAGTTGAGTTTAAGAGGATGGTCCGGTTGAGCAGCCAGTCATTGCGAATGGCGCGCGCCTCCAGGCAAGCCATCCCAAAGCTGAATGCTCCGCCTGAAAGCAGCCAGACAAGCAGCGCCATGGCCAAATACACAAGCACCCTCTCTCATGATTGCATGGAAATACAAGACTCTCCTTTCAGCAATCTCTCTGCTTTGGCATTGGACTAAGAACAACTCAAACGCAAACAGGCCTTGTGAGTCACACTGTGGTCGCAGCTGCAATTTGCGGAATGCTTGCATGCCATAGCGACACCTTAAAGGGACAGCCCATCCAGCTATCCAGCTGAGGACCTCTCACTGGAGCTGGGAGAGACCCAAGGTCAGCCCACTCGAGGCTTGAGTTTGATGTTGCCATGTGCGGCCCAAACCATGTCTTGTGCCATGTGGCCAGGTCTTCCAGCGTTCATTCGCTTGATTCCCAAAACGGCTGCAGGACTGGTGGCTCCACACCCGCGGTGCCGATCACAGCGACGCGGCTCAGCAGTCGGGGCCTGGAAAACGGACTGGACCTTCAGCGGCAGCAGCAGCCTGCAGCCACTTGGCGAGGACATAAGTCGCCAAATTTCAGAGATCCCTCTATGCCCCAAAAAAAATGGCGCAATGTAATGGTGATGGCGTGACCTGCTCTTGTCACATACATATGTATGCACATATATATACATACGCTGCATACGTACATTATATATATATATATGGTACCCTTGCATGGACCCTGGTTTGGTGAGCTTGAGGTGTTTGTCCAGTGTGTTATGCTGTTTTTGCCTGTTTATATTTTTTGCAAAACTGGCTGGGGGGGTGCCATAGGTATGTATATATATATATATGGTACCCCCCCCCCCCCCCATCATGGACCCTGGTTTGGTGCGGTTGACCTGTATTTTCCAGTGTTTTATGCTTCTTTTTGCTTCTTGGATTTGTGTCAAAATTGGGGGGAGGGTCGTACATGTATATGATACGCATGCATGCATACAGATGTGATAAAAGCAATGACATCAGCACCTGCAATCTGAAAGAGTTTGAATGCATCCAAGAATACACGAACAACTCAGACAGTTTTAAAAAGTATCAAAAATTCTGGGATTCAAGATTCAAGATTCAAGAATGTGAGAAAATATTTTCTGGGAATCTTGAATCGTGAATCCCATAATTTTTAAAAAGTTTTAAAAATTCCGGAATTGTCCCAATACTCTCAATGTTCAATAAGATTATCGGAAAAGTTTTCCGTGAAATAGTTCAATCCAGTGGTAACGGATGTTCGAGGTGATAGAACAACTTGAACATTTTAGGGGTTGACCAGGATGGATGAGTCTCAGGAAAGTGGTGGTTTGTGGGCTCCTCAATATTGAATCCTCAATCCAGTGGTAAAGCACTTTCAAGTGTTAGAAGAACTTGAATGCTATTTGGGTTTGGCCAGGATTGACAATTCTCAGGAAAGTGTTCTGTGTAATCTTCAATATTGAATCTTCCATCCGATAGTAGCAAATTTTCAAGTGCTTAGCGATCCAGTGGACACACTTCAAGTTATTGGTTAGACAAACTTTCAAGTGCTTTTGGTGAGCTTCATGTCAGCTATGCTCATGTTGACCCCTTTCCAGGAGGTAAACAAAGGCAGGTGCAACGCTCAAAAACACTACATTTTCCAGTATTTTATGAGGAGGCGCAGGATCATTGGGGGTACTATATATGTGTGTATGTATGTGTATATATATATATATAGATATACATATGTATGTACGTTCACACACCGTCCCCCACCCTCTTCAACTACCTGTCCACATTTGCTCATCTACTACCTCCACCTTTTGAGATAGAATTAACTTTCCTGCGCAAATAGAACTTTAAATACAACGGTTTAGCTAGAATCCCTGCTTCGAGATAGTCTTAGATTTTGAACCTCTCTTCCCTTGAAAATTCCCTTTGGAACACCGTCTAACAAGTTCAATGTCGGACCTTTCTTATGCTACAAAAGGGCCAGAATGTAAACAACACAAATCCCATTTTTAATTTCCAAATGTATAGCCATATTTAATATGAATTATATTTGAGATGTAGTCTCTATTCACTTGATATTATCAAAAGCAAATTGAGTTGTGTTCGTCTTAGATTATATTTACCACTTGGATTATATTTGGGAAAAAGCTTCCATCTAACTTCTTGTGTTATAGATTAGTTGGAGTTTAGCCGAAAATATATATTTACATTTTCATGTAGCTGCTATTTGGAAAGGATTTGCTTGTTTTAAGCTGTAATTGAACATAAACACATGTTTGAAAACTATATCCATACTAAACTATATTCAAAATTCCAATTCTAGTTGAAGTAACATCTTATCTGCAAAGGGTATCATACTGGGCCATTGTGGAGGACTCCGGGCTCCAAATTATCACGCTTTGGGGACCCACAATTGGAAATTTCGAGAATATAAATTTGGAAATTCTAGATTTGCCATCCCCAAAAGGCAGTAAAACCAGGGTCCATGGGGGGGGTTGCATATATATATATATACCCATTATGTACATACATATGGAATGTAAGCAATGATATCAACATCTACAATCTGACAGAGTCTGCATGCATCCAAGAGTATTGGGACAACACTGGATTTTTTGCGTTATTTTAACAATTATGGGATTCAAGATTCAAGATTCAAGAATCTGAGAAAATTATGTCTGGGAATCTTGATTCCTGTATCTTGAGGTCCCATATGTTTTTTTCCGTTGTTTTGCTTACGTTGACCCCTTTCCAGGAGGTAAACAAAGGCAGGTGCAACGCTTTTTGAATCATGTAATCTATGCTCATGGTGGCCCTTGTCCAGGGAGTAAACAAAGGGACGTGTAATGCTCAAACACACTGTAGTTTTACAGTATGTTATGAAGAGGCACAGGATCATGAGGTGTACTATGTGTGTGTATGTAAATATAAATAATATGGATATGTATGTATGTATGTATGTATGTATGTATGTATGTATGTATGTATGTATGTATGTATGTATGTATGTATGTATGTATGTATGTATGTATGTATGTAATGTATGTATGTATGTCAAATGTATGTATGTGGGTATGTGGTATGTATGTATGTATGTATGTATGTATGTATGTATGTATGTATGTATGTATGTATGTATGTATGTATGTATGTATGTATGTATGTATGTATGTATGTATGTGTATGTATGTATGTATGTATGTATGTATGTATGTATGTATGTATGTATGTATGTATGTATGTATGTATGTATGTATGTATGTATGTATGTATGTATGTATGTATGTATGTATGTATGTATGTATGTATGTATGTATGTATGTATGTATGTATGTATGTATGTATGTATGTATGTATGTATGTATGTATGTATGTATGTATGTATGTATGTATGTATGTATGTATGTATGTATGTATGTATGTATGTATGTATGTATGTATGTATGTATGTATGTATGTATGGTATGTATGTATGTATGTATGTATGTATGTATGTATGTATGTATGTATGTATGTATGTATGTATGTATGTATGTATGTATGTATGTATGTATGTCTAATGTATGTATGTGGGTATGTATGTATGTATGTATGTATGTATGTAGGTAGGTAGGTAGGTAGGTAGGTAGGTGGGCAGGCAGGTAGGTAGGTAGGTAGGTAGGTATGTATGTAGGTAGGCAGGTAGGTATGTATGTATGTATGTATGTATGTTCACGCACCGTCAACCCTCCCCCCTTTGAACTACCTGCTCACATCTGCTCATATACTACCTCTGCCTTTTGAAATAGAATGAATTATGTTTTCCTGTCAACTGATGTAGCTAGAACCCCTCTTTCGAGATAGTTCTAGAATTTGAACCTCTAATCCATTGAAACTTGCATTGGTGGAACACCGTCAAAGATGTTCAATTTCGGACCTTTCTTATGCTACAGAAGGGCCAGAATGCAAATAACACAAATCCTATTTCGAACTTCCTTGTAGTTGAGAACCAAGGCAATCTAAGTACTATTATCAAAGGCCACTTGATTTTTGATCGTGTTATATTGAACTAAAAACGTTCATCATGTTGGGGAATAAGTTAGTATTTAAAATGTGTTATTCAAGATTAGTTGAATTTTTACCCGAAATTATAATTTACATTGCAGTTTAAACCCTATTTGGAAAGGATTGTTTATTTAAAGTCGAATTGAACATAAAACGAACTTGGAAAACTGTATCCTAACTAAATCCTTTTCAAGAATCCAAATCTATTTGAAGTAAAATATTATTTGGAAAGGATATAATATTGGGACATTTCGGAGGACTCCGGGCTCCAAATTATGAGGCTTTAATTTGCCCAAAATGGGAAAGTTCGAGGATGAATATCTCTAGATTCTAGATGCATCATCCCCAAAAGGCACTGTAGCCAGGGTCCATGGGGGGCGGGGCATATATATATATATATTAGTATCGCTATATCAAGTCATATAAGAAGAAACAAAATGTCATGGCGCCTCAAAAAAAGCGTGCCAAATCCCAGCGGCAGCACCAGCAGCCTCGGAGCACGAGTCACTGGGCAAAAGCTCACCGGAACGGTTGGGAACATCGTGGCAGAACCGGCCATCGCTCCATTTTGTCACTAAGCGCTGGAGTGTGATAGCCTTGGACAGGCCATGCCAACTGCAGCCCACTCAAAGAAACGATTCAGTCACAGCACGACCTGTTGACTCTTTCAGTGCAAGTGGCTCCATCATAGCATCCAAGGGCACTTCATGTGCAGCAAATGCAGGATCACCGGGGCAAAGCTCCCGAATCACATCCAGTGTCTGAACCACAGAGCCTGCCAAATGCGAATGGGATGCGGATGCATTTCATTTCCCAAAGCATTGTGTGCAAATCTGCTTGTCAAGCCGGCCTCTTCTCAGCATGCCTAGCAAGCCACAGGTCTTTCCTGGTGAGAAACAACAAGGAACAGGGGCCACCTCGAAGACGCGTGCCAGCTTTGGCGTTGAAGGGATCTGATTGAAATCCTTGTCGCCAAACATGCGCTGCAAGCGCCTCGAGCACACGGCAAGCTCCCTCACACATGGCAAGTCGAAAAAGCTCCAGCCCCGGCCATCCCCCATTCTTGATCAAAAACCGTGGACTCCTGAAGTTCCTGATATTGCGCAGTTGCATCCTGCACTTTACGTCGAATGTTGCAGGGAGGCACTCTGTTGAAGAGGTAGCAGTAGTAGGAGCCGCCATAGTGCACCAGGTGGTCAAACCGTGATGGCGAGGCAAGCCCCAACCTCTAGAGAATCTTGGCAGCTTCCAACAATCAAGCCAAATGGCCTATGTGCTAGTGAGCGCCAACTACGGAAATCGCACGAAAAGAGACATGGATATGCACAACTTGTTTGTGCACTTGCAAAAAAAAATCTGCACAGCGTCAAGCTTGAGCTTCCAGTAAGCGCCCGGCAATTCAACTAGAGATCCGTTGAAAGGACCGTCCTCGTCGAGTGCACGCATGCATTTGGAACTCACTCTCGACGCCAAAGCAAAAATCAGCCAAGCAACCAGCTCGAACTTGGAAAACCTTAGCTCTTTAGGCATGCAATTCCTTCAACAAGCCACAGCTGGTGACTAGCATTCCAGGCAAGCAGCGAGTCGCGCAAATGTTGCTGCACTGCTGCAACTTGTGCTTCTGGTTTTCCAACTGGGTGGTAAGTATAAAAGGCCTGATCCACCACAGCCTTACTGTGTGCATGCTCTTTCCGAACTTGGTTACTGCAACAGTGTTGGGAGCAGGAACAGAATATCAGCGTGGTGGTGCTGAGAAATGTCCATCCCTTCGCATGGAACAAATACACTCAGCGCAATACTCACTCAGCTGCACAGTTGCGTCAGACATGTGAGAAGCTGGACAAGATATGCTGCTTCTGAGTGGCGTATAGCAGCTGCTGCACTGCTTCAATTTGACTGAAAGGACGTTGGCGGTGAGCTCTTTGCAGTTCCAATGGAAGTGACTTTCCTGACCGCCAAGACCGTTGGACGCTCGAGAAGTCCATCAGCTAAACAACAAGCAAAGACAAGTATATAAAGCGATTTGCAAGGCCCGTCACACTTCGCCGAACAAGAGCCCGTGGCTTAACCACTTGAACAAGCACTATCCAGTGTGCATCTTGGGTTCGGGGTAGAGGTGTTGGGTTTCTTACTAGAGCTGGTTGCTCACTGGCGCTGGTTGTTCTTAGGGCCGGCAACATCCAGCACACCAGCACCCTCGCCAAACAAGCACCGCCAGCAACCACCACATCGCCTCCAGCACACAAAACAGGACCCTGACCAGCACTCACAACAGCAACCTGGTCCGAACTCACTGAGAAGCCTGCCCCTCTTTAAAGGTCAGAATCCCTATAGCTTTCAGCCCATCTGGGGAAGAACACCTCTTCCTTGGTTTCGTGCAGTAAGGGGCTGATCAACAAAGGGGGTCCTCTCCCGCCCAAGCAAAGACAAAGAGCTTTGCCGCGCCTGCTCCCGACACGGCGTAGGATGCCAGGCACTCCGGGTCCGACACAAAGTGCTCGAACAAGTGAGATGGAAACTCCTGAACTGAGGGGTGACAACGACGCAAGAGTGTCACGTCCATCGACTGCAAGCAACCCACGTGCTTTGACATGCCAATAGGCCGAGCGAGCCAGCTTCACACACGAGGCTCCACAAAGTCAATAGTGCCACGGGTGCCGGACAGGTGCTGAAAGTGGGTCTCTGAGAGCAGCGAGTGCACGGCATGCCCGATCTCGTGCATAAAGGTCAGCGCAAAGCTCGGGGTCAGATTGTGCACTCCCTGCGGCAGCGCATAGACCAAGGACGTCTTCGGGGTTTGCCGTGTCCCGTCCGAGAGCACTTTCGAGCCCTGGAGTGTGAACTGCGCCGATTGCACCTGGGCTGCCAAAATTTGGATCCCCTTGTGACTGGTGCTTGAAGGAAAAACCACAAGGAAATGATTGCCTATTTCAATACCCCAATTTCGGCAACCAGAAGCCAAGACCAGTGGCATTTGAAATTTGAGGTCCGCTTCCTTTTCGACATCCCCACCTTCTTGCCGGCGCGCTGGAAGGGATCCAGGTACAGCACGCCCAACAAGTTATTGTTGTCGTCGCGGAGCCCGAACTTCTGCACCGAGGGGTGCCACAGCTCTCCGGGTGCCGGCTCCTCCGGCGTTTGCAATCTGTGTTGCCATGCCCATGTTACGTTCAAGAAACAGACCACGCGGAATGGGCAGTCCTTATAAAACTGTTTCCCAATCCCTTTCAAAGCCACAAGGAAGAGTTGAACATCGGCCCTTCCTTTTGAAAAACATTGGGTTTCGGATAGGAGGGTCACCTCACCAGTCCTCCTGCGTGAACTCCAGGCCAAGGAGCCGAGACAGAATCAGGCGCACCCCATTCAGCAGGGACTCATAGGTGAGATACTGCGAGATCTGGTCGGCCGTTTGGTGCTTTTGCTTGCACCGGTGCAGCAAGAAGGGCAAATCCCAGCCTTCCAACTTGGAAGGGTCGCCCAAGGAGCTCTTCTCCTCTGCCAGGATCTGCAGCTCTGCCAACAGCCCCGGCCGGAGCCGGTGCCACGCGGCCTGACAGGCGGGACCGGCCATGTTCAAGGGTCATCAATAGTGTCCACTTGTCATTTATTCCCTGGCCATCAATTTGATGCTGCTTCCAGCGGGAATACTTTCTTGCTTTCACTGCAGCTTCCTTCAAACTACAGAAGGCACAAGAGCCATTCTGTTTGCCATCCGACTCAGTACTTTCGTGGAGAAACAGTCACACTCATCCTGCCACACCATCCCATCACCCTCCCAGTTCCCCACACACCCCCCACACACCCCAAGCACCCGTCTCCGTCCTCCAAGAAGTGCTCCACGTGCTGCGGGCTCTGCAGCAGCGAGTCCCGCTGCGCGTAGTGCGCCCAGCTCTCGTAGCCCCGCAGCTTGGCCAGGTGCTGTCGCACCGCCAGCAGCGACACCATGCCCTCCTCGTCCAACGAGTCCCAACGAGTCCCAAATGAGTCGAATTGAGTCAACCCAGAAAATAAACCCAGAAAATCAAACCCAGAATGAGTTGAATGAGTCAACCCAGAAATTCACACCTTGTTGTCCATGCCTTATGGGCATTCCATCCGTATCAAAGACGCACCAAGCCCGTGGTGAAGAAACGCCATGCTGACTTTTTTGCAGGCCTTACTACAACCACCCTTGATGACACACGGTAGTAGCACCACCTACAACAATGGTTGTGGAAAATGGGCCTTTTCTGCGAAACAGCCGCATGACCGTGCTGTCACTTCGCATAACTTATCACTGCAAATGTACCAAACACTACTACGTGTCAACAGCAGGGGACCCCAAAAAATGGTTCGGCTTCCTTTTGAACTTTGCCCAAAGAGAACCCTCAAAACAACACCAATGCTGCCCCCGCCTCCTGGGGCCAGGGACACCCTCAAAAGCACAATACTCCAAAGAAGGTGGTTGTGGTGGCAAAATAGACCCTCAGTGCCTGTCCCTTGTCCATCCCCGCCATCCCCGCCATCCCCGGCCTCCGCATCACCCCCGGTGACAGCCTCATGGATGCGGCGCCGCGCCTCCGCGCTGGGCGAGGTCTTCAGCACCTGGTCCGCCAGCGCGGAGTGCCGCGGAAGCAGCACCTCGCGCGTCCAACCAGCTCGCTAGGCTGCATTGTGAAATTGTGGTTTGGATTGGTGGTTTGGGGGATTTGAACCCCTGCTTCTTGTAGAAATGGGAAGCCAATCAACCATCACACCACCAATCCGAACCTCTAAGACTCTAAAACTTTCTCCTCGCCTTGAAAAAATGATCCAGCTGTTGTGCAAGTCTTGGCCCCACTCCCGCTGAAAAAATAACCCCAATTGCGGGAATTGCAATAACATGTTGTTGGCTCCTGGACCATTTTGGGGTCAAATCCCAAGATGTCTTCAAAAACAGGGGCGCTAACATGGTTGGCTTCTTGTTGCCTTCGATTCAAAGGTCCCGGTTCTAACAAACACCTATATGGCTGTCCAAGCCAAGGTGTCCCCTGTAAAAGCAAACGACAAGGACATCACACCCTTTCGGGGACAGCTTCAAAAGGGAAGCAAAAATGCCTTCCCCAGTTTTGACACACATACCAGTTTACTCAAAACAGTGTCTAAGGAATGATAAGAGTGGCTTACTCTGTTCAACGCTGGAAATGTCCTGTTGCTTATATTGTCTGTACATTGCTTTGTCTCGGCTGACTACAGGGTTGGGCAACTTGAAAAGGAACCCTGGAGCACCTGCCTTGACTACTTGCATCTGGGAAGAATCCTGTTTGAGGGAAGCTTAGGAGGGACCATAGTGAGATGTTGTGTCGGTTCCAGCCATCTTGGCAATATTGGTCCCGCAATTTGTCTGCCTGGTGCATTAACAGGCTCTGAGCGTGACTTCTTTCCGCGCGCCTCGTCGTTCTTCTGCGGCAGGCCCCGCGCGTGGGCGCTCAAAGCCCCGAGGCTGGACAGCGGCACCCAGGCACCAGAGGCCGAGGCCTCCGAGCGCTCCTGGCGCTCCAAGATCTTGAAGGAGAGCTGCTGCTCCGCGTCCAGAAGTTGGATGCACTGTTCCTCGGGGCTCAAATCGAAGGTAGGGGAAACCGGGAAAGCTCACGGGTTCGTCTGACAGCGCGGCAGCGCGGGTCCTTGGCATCCTCTGGTAAATGTATGCCCTCATGCTCCATCGACACACGCATGTGGTGCAGCACTGTCTGGGCTTCCAGTGAGATGTTGCCAAAGTGCTCCGACGATTCGGCCACCTTCATGGAGTTGTACAAGTCGCTGTCCAGGTTCACCTCGCTCATAAAGTTGGCCACCTCCTGCACCGCCGCGGAGGCCTGCTGAACGTAGGCCTCCTCCGTTCTCTCTCAAGATGAACGAATGAATATAGAATATGGATTGTTTTAACACGAACTGATTTAGCAACTGGTTTTGGCAAAAACAATCCTCAAGAAAACCCGAAAACCCGAAAACCCCTCCTCCGGGTGCACGTTCCTTACCAGCTCTGCGGCATCCGCAATCTGGCAGAGCTCGTTGGAGACGCCGTCCAGCAGTTCCACCAGCTCCAGCGGCTCTTGGCTCGAGACGCCGAGCCGCTCGCGGGAGGCGCGCACCGCATCCCCCGCCAAGGCCGGGAAGTCCTGCCAGGATTCGCTCAAAAGATGGGCCCCATTTGTCGTGGGACCCAGACATATTTTAGTGCCTTGAAAAACGGAGCCAAAAAGGGGGTCCATGAAGTTCGGCATGAGATTTTGGTGATGGGTCAAATTCTGACCGGGCGCATCGGCGATCAAGAACAAGACATGGAGGCTTATTTGCCGAAGGCCCAGCAGCGCAGCAAGGGTGTGCGGCTGGGAAACCCTCAGTGGCTTTGCAGTAGGGGAGACTGGTCGGAGACTCTGAAACTGCGCCAAGTATGTGTTTGGGAGCAAGGTCATGAGGCAGGGCTTGCCTGGCTTCATCAGACACAACTTCAGAGGGAAGCGATGGTCTGCTCTGAACCAGCAAAAACAATTGTGTAAAACATCCCGAACGTGGGAGTTAGTGTACGAAGTCGCGGGGCAACCTCTTCCCGGAGGATTTGCAGGTCCGGTCAGCCGAAAAATACTACCAATTTTGGGGAGTTGTTCTTCGAGCACTTACTGCCACCGCAAGGCTGGATTTGGTGTTTGTCCAGCTTTGTTGCCGACGCTGCCGATCGTGTATGGCCTTTTCGGCTGGGGCCCTCGCGGGCCAAAAGGCATGCCAATTTTACATCAGTTTACTTTCCGGTCCCGGCCTCGCCGGACTTGGGCGCATAAGGTGTGCCGGGGATGCTGGGGATGTTGCGGGATAAAATGCGTTTATGTTTTTGGAATTTGTGGGAGCCGGGGATGCTGGGCGAAGCACTTTTTGTCACCGCGCGGCTTGTGGTGGCTTGCGGTGATTAGCCATGTGCTTTTCACGGACCCAACGGGGTCCTATGTAAGGCCCAGCCCCCACTATGTCTTAGGAGTACTCCTGTCAGACCGTCCGGGAAAAGAAAGTTGGCTTTTTTGGCCGCCTTTTTTGGGCTTTCCTGTATGACCTGCCCGCCCAGCCTTTTCTTTGTGTGCCAGAGAAGTTCAGCAGTGCTCAGCATCTTTCAGTACTGCACACATGAAAGAGAAAACTAAACAAAAACAAGAGGCAAACCAAAGGCAAATCAAAAGCAAACCAAATGCAAGCCAAAAGCAGAACAAAAACAAACCGAAGTTAAACCACAAGCAAACAAAAGGTAGTCCAAAGGCAAAGGCAAAGACAAACCAAGAGCAAACCAAACACAAACCAAAAGCGAACCAAAGGCAAACCAAAAGTAAACCCACAGCAAACCCAAACTAAACCAAAAGCAAACCAAAAGCAAAGCAAAGGAAAACCAAAGGTAAGCGAAAGCAAACCAAATACAAACCAAAGGCAAACCAAAGGCAAACAAAAGGTTAAACAAACGCCAACCAAAGGCAAACCCAGAGAAAACCAATGGCAAATCAAAAGCAATCCAAAAGCAAACCAAAAGCAAACCAAAAGCAAACCAAACGCAAACCAAAGGCAAAACAAAATCAAACCGAAGTTACACTAAAAGCAAACCGAAGTTACACCAAAAGCAAACAAAAGGTAGTCCAAAGGCAAAGGCAAAGACAAACCAAGAGCAAAACAACAAACCAAATGCGAACCAAAAGCAAACCAAAGGCAAACCAAAAGCAAACCAAAGGCAAACCAAAAGCAAACCAAAGGCAAACAAAAGGCAAACCAAAAAGCAAACGAAAAGCAAACCAAAAGCAAGCTAAAAGCAAGTCAACGACAAACCAAAGGTTAACCAAAAGTTAACCAAACGCAAACCGAGGGCAACCCAAAGCAAACCCAGGGCAATCCAAAAGGTGAAGCAAAGGCAAACCAAAGGTAAACCGAAGAAAACCAAAAGCTGACCAAAAGCAAACCAAAAGCAAACCAAGGGCAAACCGAAAGCAATCCAAAAGCAAACCAAAAGCAAGTCAAATACAAGCCAAAGGCAAACCAAAGGCAAAACAAAGGTTGACCAAACGCAAACCGAGGGCAACCCAAAGCAAACCAAGCGCAAACCAAAAGGTGACCAAAAGCAAACCACAAGCAAGCTGAAGCAAACCAAAAGCTGACCAAAAGCAAACCAAAATCAAACTGAAGCAAACCAAAAGACCAAAGGCAAACCAAAAGCAATCCAAAAGCAAACCAAAGTCAAACCAAAGGTAAACCGCAAGCAGACCAAAGGCAAACCAAAGGTAAACCAATAGCAAACCTAAGGCAAACCCAAACCAATTCAAACCCAAAGCAAAAGCAAAGCAACAAAAATCCAAAAGCAAACCAATGGCGAACCAAAGATAGAGCAAAACGAAACCAAAGGAAGGCCAAAAGCAAAACAATGGTAAATCAATAGCAAGCCAAAGGCAAACCAATAGCAAACCAAAGGCAAACCAAACACAAGCCAAAGGAAAACCAAAAGGAAACCAAAGGCAAAGCCAAAGTAAGCCAAAGGCAAACAACAAGCAAACCATAGGCAAACCAGAAGCATACCAATGCCAAACCAAAAGCAAACCAAATGTAAGCCACGGGCAAACAAAAGGTCAACCCAAAGCAAGCCAAGGGGAAACATACGGTAAACAAACAGCAATCCAAAGGCAAATAAAAGGCAAACCAAATGAAAACGGGTCGAGATTTAATTTGGGAATTGCTTTTTGTTTTATTTTTGGATTTTTTGTTTTCCGTCCTGGCTATTAAAAAGCTGTAATTTACAGCATTTTCTCGCGATATGTACGTATTTTACGCTAGTCCGTCAACATCATCAGCATCGTTTTCAGCATCCCCCGCATGTCCAGCCAACATCCCCAGCATCACCAGCAAATTGGCTTCCCGCATCTAATGGGAAAAGTGAGGATTCAAATACGGGCAAACTAATCCCTGTAAAACACCTAAAACGTGGCGGCAGCCCCGATTGAAAAAGTGACGACGGCAGCAAAGCTGTGGGGGGGTCATCAGTTCCTCTGCGGCAAGGCCTCATGGTACAAGTGAGGATTCAAATACGGTCAAACTAATTCCTGTAGATCGAAACAGTGATGATTCAATCAGGGGCAAAAAGTCTAAAAAAATAGCGGGGGGGTTGGGGGGGGGGGCGGCCCCCCCCATGATGATCGAAAAAATACGGGCAAAGAATCTACAAAGTAGCGGTCGCATGATGATCGAAGAAGTGATGATTCAATTAGGGGCAAAAAGTCCAAAAGATAGCGGGGGGGTTGGGGGGGGCGGCAGCCCCCCCATGATAGTGATGATTCAAAAAGGGCCAAAAAATACAAAAAAATCAGCGGGGGGGGGTTCATTCAGTTCCTCTGCGGCAAAGCCTCATGGTACAAGTGAGGATTCAAACACGGGCAAACTAATCCCTGTAAAGCACCTAAAACGTAGCGGGGGGGGGGGAGGGGGGGGGCGGCAATTCCCCCCGTGATGATTGAAAAAGCGATGATTCAATTGTATTGCGCGGGGGGGTTGGGGGGAGCGGCAGCCCCCCCCCATGATGATCGAAAAAGTGATGATTCAATCAGGGGCAAGAAGTCTAAAAAATAGCGGGGGGGTTGGGGGGGCGGCAGCCCCCCCCATGATGATCGAAAAATTAAGGGCAAAGAATCTACTACCCCGGCGCGAGACCCCAAACAGTGATAGGCGGCGGTCACACGCTGCAGAGTATTGTGCGGGCAGCGCCGCAAAACGGCGGTTGTTGTCAGGAAGCTGCAACATCATTTTGCGGCATTTGCGTGCACATTCGCAAAGACAAGGGCCTGGAACAGACACGCGGTTCGTTGTTGTTGTTCAGAGTACCATCGAGACGCCGTCGCAGCACAGAAGCACCATCCAAGCATGCCCAAAGAAAGGGAAACAAGCTCGCCGGAAACTCGTGCCGCCGAACCACGAGACAAAACCCCCACGGTCCCCGGAGCCCGGAGCCGCCAAAAAAGAAAAGCAAAAAAATCGAGATTGTGACAAGCCTGCGCAGTCGAAACGCACTTCAACATCAAGCAAAAGCAAGAATCTGCGGTAAATACCACGCGAAACGCTCGCGGACAGAAGTCGACACCTCACTTTGTGCGAGCCTGCGCAGTCGAAACGCATTAGCAAAAGCAAGAATCTGCAGTAAATACCACGCGAAACGCTCGCGGACAGAAGTCGACACCTCACTTTGTGCGAGCCTGCGCAGTCGAAACGCTTTTCAACATCAAGCAAAAGCAAGAATCTGCGGTAAATACCACGCGAAACGCTTGCGGACAGAAGTCGACACCTCACTTTGTGCGAGCCTGCGCAGTCGAAACGCATTTCAACATCAAGCAAAAGCACGAATCTGCGGTAAATACCACGCGAAACGCTCGCGGACAGAAGTCGACACCTCACTTTGCGCGAGCCTGCGCAGTCGAAACGCACTTCGACATCAAGCAAGAGCACGAATCTGCGGTAGATACCACGCAAAACGCTCGCGGACAGAGCGGGCACCTTAATCTGGCACCAAGGCCTTTTCTCTTACCGTAAGAACCACTGTTTGGGGAAAAAAGGAGCGGTCGCATGATGATCGAAAAAGTGATGATTCAATCAGGGGCAAAAAGTCGGGGGGGGATGATGATTGAAAAAGTGATGATTCAATGGGCCCAAAAAAACAACAGCGGGGGGGCACCAGTGCCTCTGTGGCAAGGCCTCATGTAAAAGTGAGGATTCAAGGGCAGAAAGCCGCCAAAAGCCAAAAAGCAAAAAAACCACCTGCCGCAGCGGAACTGGCAATGCAGAGGATGCGAAAAGAGAGGAACTGTGAATGCAGATGATGCGAAATGAAAAGCCACAAAAGCCACAAAAACCCACGTAAAAGCCACAAAAGCAAAAAAAGCCGAAAAGCCACCGACCCTGAAAAACACCAAATCCTTAAAAACATCCTAAAAACATGGCCCTCCAAACTAATCCCTGTAAAACACCTAAAACGTAGCGGGGGGGGGGGGGCGCCTATCCCAGAACGGTACCCTGTGGTAGTAGAGGTCGATGATTTGGTCCCTGGATCTATTCCGGAGAGAGTCCAATATGCCAATATGGAGGATTGGAGGATGGATTGTCCCTCATGGCTTGGATTGACTGTTGTACCTGTAAAGCGGTCTGCAAGCCTTTTCTCAATGTACCATGTGTCGAATGACTGTACGATTGAAGTAGAAGGGCCTTGGGCCAAATGTTGCAGGAGATCAAGCGTTCAACAAACCAAACACAAAACAGACACAAATTTCTGTTGATCTCCAGCACTAGATATGAGATATCTTTGGCTTCATGGCCTTTGGCCGTAGCCTTGATTTATGCCGTAGCCATGTGTATTGAAATACTGGATTCATCCTGTTTTCTGCGCGGGTGAAATGTCTTGACTTGCAAAATG